TTTTTATAAACGTTTAGTTGCACCATGATTTAAATACGAAGTATATTTTATCTATATAAATTCATTTGTAAACGTAGTTTATTTTCTATGGGGATGTGAGACTCTGTGAGTCAATCATATGGAAAAAAAAAAAAATGAAAATATTAGAAAATAARTGAAATATGAAAACGAACCTGGATCTATTGCATGGGGATTATCCAAAAATCTATGGGATTCTCGATCACGTAAATAACCAGCTGCCAAATTTTTACCAGCAACCAACAGTTCACCAATTTCACCGTGAGGAACCAAACGCATTTCCTCGTTAACCAAATAAACGATGCAATTGTCCAAAGGTTTGCCTAAAAAACACCAAATAAACAAAACTCTCTACACAATCCAACTATAAAATTATTAAAAAATATCTATCATAAATATATTATTATTATTAATTATAACAATACAATGAAAATGTAAAAAAAAATGAAAAAGTAAGTGAAAACGTTTAAATGGTGTTTAAAATAAATAAAACACGTTTCAAGGGCCTCTTATTTATAATCAAAAAAAAAAAAAAAGAGAAATAAAAAAATAAAATAAAATAGAACAAACGTATTTCCGGTGAAAAAAAATAAATAAAAGTCCGTTCTTGACATCGTTGTCAATCAAGTGTGTGTGTGTGTGTGTGTGTGTGTATGTTTATGTTAAATTACTATTAATGTGACTTTGTTTCTATTTTAATTAATCAGGGTCAATATTGAATGAATTTGGAGTGTTAGGTTTTTATAAAATTCCTTTTTTTTTTTTTTCATTTAGGTTCTAAAATTAATTAGATATGGTGATGATCAAAAATAAGAAAAGATGTGACAATTTTTAATAATAATTAATATTTATAAATTAATATCACATATGAAATTTATATTATAACTAATATAATATTAATAAATTATATACAAATAATTATATAAATTATTTTATATATTAATATAATATTTATTATTATATATAATTATATATATTATATTTATAATGATAGCTCTGTGGTGCGGTGCTAGAGTCACCGTTTCGCAACCCAAAGGATCGTGGGATCGAATCCCCTTGGAGTCGCGAAAAAAATATAATATAATTTATATTTACTAATATATATATTATATATATATATTTATTATAATATAATATTTTTTAATATATATATATAAATTATTAATATTAAATATAATTTATTTAAATAATTTAATTAATTAATAATTTAAATTAAATATATTAAATAATAAATTAATATAATTAATATTTTATATAAAAATGGCAATGAGACTTACGAGTTCCTAACCCTAATTAATAATATATAATATATAAATAAAATATAATTAACATATATAAATAAAAAAAATGTTTAGAGATATATATATATATATATATATATAGGAAAAAAGAATAAAAATAAATGTTGCATAATTGACTTACCGATTGGTACCTTTTCCAACGATTGTAGATCACTGAGACTTTTCATTATATGGTAAGTGACGTCCCCCATGATTTCTGTGCTACCATAAAAATTTGCTAATATCCTATTATCGCCTTGGAAAGTTACAAAAAACTCGGTTGCTTGGGAAATCGATAATGTCTCACCGGAACAAATCCAAAGTTTCAAAGAAGGTAGTAGAGCACTTTGTTTATTCTATAAACATTCAACAATAATTCGAATATATTCATTAGAAAACTTTTTGTCTTACAATTAATTACAAAATGTTTCAAAAGTATCGACAGAATTTGAATTTTATTTTTATTAAAAATTCCTGAGTATAAACATTAAAAATAATTCTAACAGATTGTTAAAAAGATTCTTGTGACAAAATTTTTGATAAAACAAAATTCAAAGATTCATACAGAAAACTTTTTCATAAAAAAATTCAAAGATTTCTAAAAAAAAACCTTATTGTCTTACAATTAATTAAAAACTTTTTCAAGAGTATCCACAAACTTCAATTTTATTTTATAAAAAAAAAATCGAATTGAACTTTGATCAAAAGTTCAATAAATTTTCATTAATTATACGAGATAAATAAATACAACATTAATTTATCTCAATCAGTTTGATATTACGTAAAAAAAAGTATTTAGAAATATAAACCATTTATTGGCAAAACTTAAACGTTAGAACATATTTCACATGTTATATAAATGCACACACAAATTAATTAGCAAATGAAAAGAATAAAAAAAAAGAAAAATATAACTTTAAAAAAAAAATTGATATATTTTGCAACAAATAATTATCTATCTCGATGTAATAATTATCTTAAATAAAGTAGAATTAACAGATACACGTTTTATTACATCATGTAATAATTATCACAGATTTATGTATTTATTCCCGTTTAATCTATTTATTTATCTTGATATTTATCTTGATATCTATCTTGATATTTTTAATATTTTGTTAACAAATTTTGTTAGTTTTTATTTTTATTTTTATCTTTTTTCTTCGAACATTCCCGCGTTTATTTTTTATTTTTTAACGTATATTAGTATATTAATTAAAATAATATAAATATTATATATATAATAATTATTTTATATATATTATATTTAAAATATTTGTTTACGATAGCTCTGTGGTGCGGTGCTAGAGTCACCGGTTCGCAACTCAAAGATCGTGGGGTCGAATCCTTGGAGTTGCGAAAAAAAAATATATAATATATATCATAATAAATGTTATATAATTAATTATTATTAATATATATTAAACTTAAAATTGTGTTATATATAATAATAATTCTTATTAAGAATTATATATTATTAATATTATTATGTATAACAATTTTAAATTCTAATATACATATAATAAATAAATTAATAATAAAAAATAAATTATTAAAAAAATATTAATAATATATATGGCAATGGAACTTATCGAGTTTCCCTAATGCCAATTATAATAAATAATATTATATAATATAATAATTAGATTATTTTAATAAAATAATAAATATATAAATAAATAATAATAAAATAATTAATCCTTATTATAATAAAAGATAATTCTTCTTACCTGAAGTTTGAGATACATCACCATAGATCGTAAAAGGGATGGCACCAATACCAATCGTCTTATCTGAAAAAAAAAATGGATGATGAAATGTATATAAAAGATTTCACATATGCCTATAATATCATATATATTATGTTTTAACTTTACTTGTTTACTAGACATCGTAAGATTTATTTTCTTATTTGTGCGTATTTTCTTTTTTGTTTTGTTCTTAATGTGCGTGTTCTCACCTTTTTTCTCTTTTTTTTTCCTCTTTTTTTTTTGTGCACAAGTGTAATTTTTTTTGTATCCCACGCTATTATTTTTCATATGTAAATTAATATTTATTCTCCGTTCTAATTCCCCCCTTCCTATCTTTTACGTCTCCGGCAATGAACGTAAAAATAAATGGATTCGTTTGTAAATAAATTAAATTGTTCCGGAAAGTTCGATGCTGATTTTGATGGAAGATTGAAATGTTTTGCAATCTAAGATTTTTGTTTGTTAGTATATATATATATATATATATATATATATTTATTAAATTATATATAAGTGTCATTCTGTTTCACAATCTTTCACCATCTTTAAGAGTAATTTACAAATTTCCTCCTTTCAAAACTTTTCAGAACTTTTCAAGTTTTTTTTTTAAGCAAAAGACCTTTAATGCCATCTACCGGAATTCGGTACGAACTTTCCGGACAAGTTAATATTACAAAAAAAAAAAAAAAGATGAATTGTGCTCACCTTGTATTTTTCCAAAGTTCGTACGAATCTTTCAGGATTTTTGGTAATTTCTTTAGGTATTACTACCAATGTACGTCCTTTTAACAAAGGACCCCAAATTTCGGGTACACTATCGACGAAAGTTAATGCAGTTTTAAATATACAACGATTTTCGTCCGTCGAATATGGTAATTCACGCCATTGCCAATTCAATCGATTTAAAATCGTCGAATGACGTAACAACACACCTAATTATATTTAATAATAAAAAATTAAATTGTTTATATTTGTATTATTATTATTTTTACCTTTTGGAATTCCTGTACTACCGGAAGTATAAAGTACTATAGCCAATTGTTTAGGATTATCATCGTATATTAAATCATCGTCACATTCATACTTTGCCTCTTCCAATAATTGTTCATAAGTTTTTGTTAATGTACCCTCATACAACGAATTGTTAACTAAAATCATTTAACATTAATAAATTGATTTATTAGGTCATCAAATATGAAATGTCTGATTTTGACATGAAAATAATCCGAGTAATTAGACATTTCATAATTAATAACCTAATATTAATCTATTTCTACTATTATTTATTTCTATGTTATGATATGTGTTAATGTATAGAAAAATTGGATAATATATAAATCAAATATATATGAACATAAATTTAAAAGAAAGCAAATGTAGAAAATATATATGTCATAATTATTATCACGCTATGTATCATTTTGTCGCGTAATAATTCAGGCGTAACTAAATAAATGAATATAAATAATAAAAAAAATTATTTTATTCCTCATCATTCTTATTACATGTCTTAATATGACGTGATAATTAAACTTGAAGAAATAATAAATTGCACAAAAAAAAAAGTAATAAAATATTAGCAAGATATTTATCAACGTGTTCTAAGTTGTAACACGTCACGTTTATACAGTGATAGTAGGAATGATAAAATTTGAATATTGGATTAAATTGTGAAATCATGTGTCAGGATAACTCGATAAATCTAATAATTGCATAAAAAAAGTAAGATAGCTACTTGGGAAATAGAAATTTGTTATATTATAATTCAATACGCAAAGTTTTAATTCATACGTGTCTCTATGATCAATCATAAAAATGATTTATGGTTAGATCAATGATCGTGATCATTTGATTAATGTAAGATAAATTAATAAATTGTATCAGTATATATACATAGGATATAAATAAATAAAAATTAAAAAAAAGTAATATAAATGAAAAGAATAATTAAATATATATATATATATATATATAAATATTATAAATTATGAGGATAGCTCTGTGGTGCGGTGCTAGAGTCACCGTTTCGCAACCCAAAGGTCGTGGGATCGAATCCCCTTGGAGTCGCGAAAAAAATATAATATTTAATATCTTATTATATATATTAAAATGTGTATTTTTGGTGGTTATGAACTATGAAATGTCTGATTACTCCGATTATAGATTAGTATTACATATTTTAAAAATTAGTAATATAACAAAAATTAATATATATTTACAAATTTTATAAAAAAAAAAAAATGAAATATTGTATATATATATATATATATATTTATATGTATATTATATATACTATAAATTAGTGTATAAATAAATAGTATAATATAAATAAAAAAAAATTATAATATTATTATAAATTAGTACATAAATAATAAAAAAGTAATTTAAATAAAAAAAAAATTAATATATATAAATATCAAAAATCAGTATTTATATTTTAAAAAATTAGTATATGAATAAATAATAAAATATTAATATAAATAAAAAATATAAATATTATAAATTAGTACATAAATAAATAATAAAATATATTAATATATAAATAAAAAATATATATATTATAAATTAGTACATAAATAAATAATAAAATAGTAATATAAAAAAAAATAATAAAATATATATATATGTATATATGTGTATAAAAAAAACACACACACAGACACATAGATATCTGTACAAGTGTACATTACATGTACACAAGTACAGATTGAACGAAAAAAAAAATGAGAAACCGAGATTAATTGGAAAACCAACTGGTGGGATGGGGTGGGGTGAGGTGGGGTTTATGGGTGGGAAGCCAGGGAGGAAAGAATAAAAGGATTAGCTTGTTTATTCTTCTAACGTTCAAGGTTATGTTGAATAAATAATGCAGGAAGTAGTAGCAACTCGGTAAATCTAATAGCGGAAAAATGTACACTCCTCGTTAAAATAGCCTTCGGCTATGTTCCATGATTTTTTCCAAATCTTCAAGGTTTATCTTTTTCTCGATTCGATTCGAAACGTATTTTATATTTATTTTTATATTTTATTTTTTAATTTTATTCATTAGTTTGTTAGTTTTCGAATTTTATATATATATTTTATTTTAAACAAAAGAATGTATATAAACATTCTATAAATAATATTTAATATTTAATTAATTATAAACTTGTATAATTAATTTTTAATTAATATCTAAATAATACAATTAACTTAATCTAACCTAAAAATATATAATTAATATGAATAATAAATCAAAGCAAATAAAATAAAATAAAATGAAATGAAATGGAATGGAATGAAATGAAATAAAAACTTTTATAAAAATTTGCAAAATAAAAATGAAAAATATTTTGTTCCTAATTAATTTGTTTGTTAGTTTATTAATTTGTTTGTTTGTTAATGATAAATGTAAGATTTAAATAAAAAAATAATATTTACCATCATTTTCGATCATCACCAAAGTAGGTTCAGCTTCCTGTAAAATATGTTTCAACCTAGCTGATGGAAATTCAGGATCCAATGGTAAATAAACCATACCAGCTTTTAATATTGATAATAAAATGATTGGCAATTTTTCTGTTGGTTTCATAGAAACTGCTACTAATTGTTGACCAGTTATTTCAGTATTACCATTATATTTTTTCAATGTTCTAGCCAATTTGTTTGTTAATTTGTTTAATTGTTTATATGTTATTTCAGTAATCTCACCATTGACATCTAAAGAAACAAAATTCAAACGACATTATATTATTATATTATAAATATAAAAAATAAATTGATAAATTAATTAAATTTATTATTCAAGATTTGAAAGAATGAAAAAGAAAATTTTTTTTTTAAATTAAATCGAAATAAAAAATTAATAAAAGACCCAAAAATAAGCAATCGAAAAATCTAATTTTCATCTTGTATGGTAAAATAGTAATAATAATAATATTATTTAATTAATCATTTAGGTTACCTTCAAAAATGATAGCAATGTCATCGGCATGTCTAATTGCAATCTCACTGAACAATTTGTGAAGTAATTCAACTTCACCGTTCCCGTTCACTTGGCGGCCTTTTAAAATAGATTGTTGTTGCAAAGTACCCATCTAAAAAAAAAAATAAAAGAAAAAAAAGAAGAAAAATAAATTAACACAAAAATCAAAGCAAATAAAACAAAAATATAACGAACAAAATTTAGAAAGCAAATAAATCATTAAAAAGAATAATTTTTTATTGCAATTTTTTTCTTTTCGTTTTTCGTTTGAATTAATGAAACCGAAAGAGAAGAAAAAAAAATAAAATCATTCGACGTGAGTTTATGTGCTTAAATAATTTAAAAAAAAGAAAAAAAAGAAAAAAAAAAGAGAAACACATACACACATACATCCATTCTTTTTTTTCTCACCGACGTGAGAAAATTAGATGAACGTGTAAAATTAATTTCTATTATAAATTTGTTTACATTATAAAAATATAAAAAATGAATTATTAAATTTTAAAATTAATTTATATAAATTTATTCATTCATTTTTATAAATATTTATTAATTTTTTTTTTAAATAAATTATTAAATAATTAAATTTATAATTGAAAATTTGAAAAAAAAAAAATATTGGAAATAATTTAGTCAGGAAGAAAAAAAGAAAAAAAAAACAAAACTAAACACTTACGTCTAAATTTTCAATATTTGAAAAATATTTCATCTTCTATAATTTTCTTTTTTTTTTTATATTCTTCTTATTCTGCTTCTTCTGTTATTTTTCTTATTTTTTCTTATTTCTTTTCTAAATAATAATAATAATAAAAATTAATAATAATTAATAATAATAATAATAATAATAATAATAATAACTTATTCGTGACGATAAACAAACATCAACGAGTTTTACGATTTCTTTTTTTTACTTCTTGTAAAAAGAAAAAACAAACAAACAATATAAGCAAAAAAATATATAAAAAAATTATTTCTCAAAAATATTTCATCTTTTTTCATATTCTTCAATTCAAAAATAATAATAATAATAATAATAATAATAATAATAATGAATAATAAACTGAGTCGTAAAGATAAACAAACATCAGCAGATTCAACACCTGTTTTTTTTTATTTCTTTGCTCTAACAAAAAAAAAAAAAAATAAAAATCAGGAAAAAAAAGTAAAGACAAAAAAAGAAACGGAAGGATGCAGCTTTTTTCTAACACTGCAATTAATTATCGTGTATCATCAATATCGATTGGATAAACGTAAATTATGTCGATAGAACGCGGCAAAATGATTTCCAATTATATTACGAAGAAGGAAAAAAAAAAAAAAGAAGGAAAAAAAAAAGAAGAAAAATATTGGAGGAATACAAAATCCAATACGTTGATTACCAATGTAAACCCATTAATCCCGATTTATGGCTTTCGATATGGCGCCGTATAACCAGTAATGGGTATTCGATACATTGTTCTTGGTATAATCATGTGTCAATTACATATCCTACTCAGTGATCCCAGAGACTTTAATTCGTTTGATCGACACAGGGCCGTAAAATTATCGTACACACCGGAAAATTATCGTACGCACAGGAAAAATTTCGAATTTGTTACATTTGTCGGATTAAATTTTCAAAATTTGAAACAAGAGCACAAGTTCCTACTTTTTCAAAGTTGATGACCTTTTCTTAACCTTTAATCTTCAAGTTGAAACAAGCTGCTCAAGATATTGAACCCGATCACTGATCCTACCGTTTTATTCTTTTATTTTACATTAAAATTCTAAACTGATAATAAGATACATATATATATATATATATATACGTTCATCATCAAACTTTCATGTGTACTGATTTCTGTCTTTGAATATCTTTTGAACGCTTAATTTAATCGGCAAAACATAAGACACCATTTTTATAGAGCACTTAATTTTCTACAAAAATTTGTATTGCGCATTTTATAATAATCATTTATTGTCGAGTTATAAAATTCATCAACAAAAATGAAATTTTTGTCTTAATATCATCAAACTTCAATCTTCAATATCATTCAAATGGTAAGATTTACGAAAAAATTATAAGATACCTTTTTTGTAGAGCATTAAATTTCCTACAAAATTTGTCTAGAACATTTTTCTGTACAATCAATAAATAATGAGATATGAATTTTAATCTATTGGACTGA